AGCCTGCTTAAACTTTTCACTTATGTTTCTGAGATCATTCGATTGCTCGTATTCTACCGATTCTACCGTTGAAGGGAATAAGGAACTCCACTAAGCTTCGGCAACACTTTCCTTACATTTCAGCATGAATATTACTCAACTCATCGTTAGATCAAACCAATAAGCACTAAACATTTGAGTTTCCTGAAATATCAAATCACTGAAGTAATTCAACTTACTTAAAGTAAATATGTTCGCCAGTTTTCTGAAATCCATCCTTTTTTAGCTTCTCAGCCGTCAGGTTAGCAAGAACTGTTACGCACATATGGCTGAAATCTGGAACAGAAATACCATTTTTCCACTAACATTTATCACATCTAATCTGGCAGGGACTTGTGAAAAAGTAAACCCTATTCGGATGCACCTTACGGCTTCACTGAATGAAATCAAAAGAACCTACTTGCTTGCTTAGCAACCCATGTCTCCACTGAAGTCGGACTGCAGTCTTTGCAATGAAATACGTAACAGACCATGAAGCTTAGCCCATAACTAAATGAGACAGCAGATGGTTTCTCATGTTGAGGACAAAATTTAGCCACCTATAACACTAACTACTAACAAGTCCTTCAGATCCTTCAAACATCGACCGTGAAACCACTTGTTACATCCGGAGCAGAACAATTCCATAGTTCCTATCTCGCGCTCACCATCACTAAAGCATCGAGAATTTACTGAGAATTGAAGATAAATTCAAAAAGGCCTACATTATGACACGCAGAGCAACGAAATTTTAAATGCAGTGTATGCTTTCACTTTCACTGTGTAGCATATTTCTATTTAAATTGGCTCTATCCGTAATAATAAGAATTTGCAAACAAATCCGCATGAACACATGGTTAAACTGAAACGGAAAATATCAAGTTCGAAACTCACCAATAACAAATAGTGTCCGACACTGATGTAGGAGCAGCATGCTTTCGCGAGCCTTTCAACCCCCTCATTTGAAGTCTCTTAAAAAGAAATTTTCAGTTGACATATATTATCACAATTGAGCAACAATGAGTGGTAAACGTACATATGAGGTAAAACAATAAGAAAAGCCAAAAGAGCAGAAGTCCTCTGAAATATAGTCTTTCTCCTCCGTAGTTCACCTTGCACAACACTAGAGAACTTTACAGAAGCACCCAATAAAACCCAACTTTCAAGGATGTTACGTATATATCCCACCCTGCGCCGGTGCAATTGCGTACCGCAAGCGATTACAGTACACCCACGCCTACTAGTTCTACTGGCGTTGACATTTGTAACTGATGATCACACGCGGGCTCGTGATGAAAGAAAATGGGAAGACTAATCTATCATAACTAAGCCAGCTCGAATATCGTATGAGCTGAGCATGCATTTCTCTTTCAGAAGGGCGGGTACCGAGATAGATGCTCTACATATCGTTGGAAAACCATTGCGCGCCTGGAAACCACTCTAATTCCTCATGTCATTTACTTCTTAACATGCAAAATAGGGTAATGTGCTAGCGTATTTATAATGTTCCGCACTAGAACAATCATTGATGCCATTATGCATTGTACAGTGCAGTGAGGGACTCGAGGGACGAAGTTTACTTGGCACCTGAGGGAAGAGAGAGTTCTAATTCGTGAGATAGTTTTCATCATGAACTGCTTAGTAGTTGCGTCTCACGGCCACCTTGTTTTCGAGTTGTTAGTTGATTTATTAGCACTTGTAGATATTTCCATAGACATAGAAATCTGATACGGAGGTATCCTTGTGAGGATGACTTGTGCTGAAAGTGAGAGCGCATACTTGTAGATGATAGGCATGGGATATGTTCATTCTTTCTGTAAAAGATGCCGTAAAATGTAATTCAGTTCCATTGGAGATAATCCGCTTACAGGAACGTTTGCGTTACTGTTGCGAATCAATTTCTTGAGGCGCTGGTGTACTCTAAAGGGGCATGCCCACGCTGACTGAGTCTTGGAGAAGAGGGTGAACCTTGAGCCGGTAATGAAATTTACTTAAACATCTAGGTACCAAATACTAGTCTAGGGGGACAGCAGGGGTGGGGAGGAGCACGATGACTTGCGCTTTATTCGCCAACCTTGTGTGGGATTTTACAGCTTCTGCGTTGGAAGATAATAGCAGTTCTTTACGTAAGCTGTGAGCAAAAGCTTAACTATTGCGCTATCAATGGGAAAACTGTTCTTCACGATTCCAATCATTTTGCATTAAATGTTATGTTCAGTGTTCGCTTCCTACTTTTGCTGGATAGGAGATAGGAATTTTTTGATCTGATGTCCACTACCACACATATTCACTGCTGACGTCTCGAAGATATATGCAAAAAACTGCTAGACTAGATATAAGTCATCTAGTCTTATTATTTCCTCTCATCACAAGTTCTACCCGTAGTTATTCAATCGAAAACAGGGTGCCAACGATAGCGGAACTAGCCGTGAGAGTACTGTAATCGCCTGCTGTACGCAATCGCACGGGCGCAGGGTGGGATAAATACGTAACATCACTTCAAAATAAGAAGGCTAAGGTCCGTGTTAAGCGGTGATTCATGAGGAGTTTCTTAGACTTCTGTAGAAGAGCTAAAATGAATAACTAATCAAGAACCAAAAGAAGAACTAATAATAAGAGACAGTAATGTTATCTCCTCAATACCCTCCTAATTTTTCCTTTTACGATTTCTTAACTATGGGGAATTATCGGGAAACTTTCATAAACTCTTATGACAGTGTGTGCCATTTTCACCATTCAGTCTCGAAACTTATCAATCTTAAGACATATGTTCATCAAAGAGCACGTCAACCCCGAAAACATCCATCCAGAAGGATTTATAACCCTTCGTGCTGACAATGCACCAAATCCCAAAGTCTACGCACACAAGACGAGGCAACTGATTTATATTAGCAATACAAAAAACCTAGCAGTAAAGAAATGACACGCCAACAGCGTGAACGTGCGCACGCCGTATGTGACGTCGATTACAAGGCACTATCTGTAACTACGTAGAGGACACCGCTGACCATCAGTAAACGTCCACTGAAAAACGTCCACTGTTGGGTCTTGGAGGAGAGTGAAATAAGGAAGAAATTAAGGTTTATATACAATGTGTACAAGTCGAAAATGGCAAAGAACTTCATATACAATATGTACAATCTGAAATGGGCAAAGAGTTCTGTATACAATATGTAAGGAAGAAATGAAGGTCTATATACAATATGTGTCTTACACATATTACCTTCCTACCATGGAACTTACCTTATCCTTGTTCGATCGTCTCGTCGCTTGCCCTCATCATGAACGTCCGGAAGATCTACAAAAAGGGATCGAGGTTTTCGCCATGTCAATAGCTTCGCCATGAATGTTAGTCATACCCATTAAAAACTTTCTCCGTAACGTAACGTGACATCCGCCGACAATACGCGGTGATCGTTGACGTGCGTATCCATCTCATATCTCGACGTAGCACCCTCTTGAAGCGGTGCATCTCCCTGTTGATCAGGTACCGGCGATCCCTGTCCTTCTTCCGCAGCTTCTTCGGTTCAGCAGGCCTCTGAAATTAGGGTATTTAGTACGAAACGGTATGAGCTCACAATGCAACCAACCCTTTCGACGTCTATAATAGCTCCTCTTGCATTGACGGCGCAGCCCTGCAGCACACGTATGAGCTCACTCATTCGCGGATACTTCGTTCCTCCAAAGAGATCTCCTAGTACCCTGAAAAGCAACGATATTGAAATACTGATATAAAGTACGGGCATTTCTAGTGGTATTTCTAGATAACCAACTTGTTGAACGTTTCTGCAATGTTACTGGTCCTTAGGTCCGATTTGTTCCACTTGTTCCACATTTTCCTGAAAATACCTTTATACCAATTCTTTTTCAAATAGTCCAAGAACATGCGGCATTTAATGTATGCCGCATGGTTCCTGGAAACAGGGGGCCGATAAAGAGCAGGGACCCTGCGGTGCAAACCCTTTGGTAAAAAACTAACCCCTTGATGGTTTCCCACCACTGCTTTATAAGTGCACACCGCAGGTTCCCTCTTACCTGTGAGCGCAACCCAAGTGCATCTCTTTTTCTATTCCAAGCCTGAGCTAAATGAAAAGCACACCCCTCTACAGATGCACTTGGGAAGGCCCTCTTCGCCGCATTAATAGCGGCTTTTTCGAAGTCCACAACGATCCGCAAATCCTGAGCTCCTCCTGCGGCGGCGATGGCATCCTTCATCATTCCAAAAATCGTGTCATACGTCTGCTCGTTCTTCCTGGAATGCAAAAGCACTGAGATTGTAATGGAGTTGACTATCAAGTGACACAAATTACCTTAATGTGATGGCGTAGAGCAGCGACATATCCACGGAGTTCGCCACTACTCCGTGGATGATATACACTTGTCCTGCTTTATTGGTGACGCTAGGTTGCAGGTCATGCACACCATCCGCCACCAAAGCCTTCAACCCGCATCGGCACGCTCTCTAAAATGAAGTAGCGTCAGAAGCACCAGAAGTGAGTGGAACTGTTTTCAAGAATCACCTCAATGTTTCCTGTAGAGTAGTAGATGTGTAATTCCTCAGTTTGCAGCTGCAGGAACGGAGTACCATCTGCTAGGAACGCGTACTCCCTCGGGACGTTCGTCATCGTTACGCGATTGTCGTGCAGCTTTGCAGCTGCTCTAAACACTAGCTTGTACTGCTCGCTTCTTATAATATGCGACGAGCGGATTTTGTTTTCACATCATATCATACCCACCTCGCAATCACGCGCCGGCGTGATTCGTATCCGTTCCTGTAGAAGTAATGGAGCATGTCGTCCCGCTCCATTTCACCTGAAACATCACTTTCAAATACTTGGTTCGCGATCTTTTGGTATACCTGTCTCGGCTTCAAATTGGCATTGCGGGGATCCTTGGGGAGCTCATGGCACGCCTAAAGAAATGGTTATTTGAACGATCTCTACAACTTTGCATCACTTTCATTACCTCATATACCATCCGATTTACCCTTTCCTGTGCATTTTTCCATGGCCGGCACACATGCGGGAGATGGACGGGATCTCCCACGAGGTCGCACCCATCCAGAACCTGGAATATCATGAAATTAACACCTGTCTGCACCATATTAGCTGTAAAAGGCCGCAGTACCACTATGCTAACGGTCTTCCCTTCTTTCCTGCATCCTGTGCACCGGTACACGACCCGTCCATCCGTTGTTGTCCGAAGGTGCTCAAACATGTAACATAACGATTGTCCTAAAACAGGAATTACTGCATATGAATACCTGACAGCAAGAGTTTCACTACTAAGTCTCGTTTGCTTACCTGGAATAGGATATCGTACAACTTTATAGACTCCTCGCTTGCTGTCCTCCAGAATACCGCGGAATCGCTCCCCTGTGTGGGGCACCCGTTGTCGAGGGCGGGACTCGGGAACTTAATGATACCTGTATTTTCATTAATCACGATAATGTTGAGTGAGTTACCTCTTGACGGCGCCGATTCTACCATTGGATGTTGATGGTCCAGGGACCGCAGCATCCGGAGGAACTATAACACCTCATTAAAGTAAATACACATAATCAACACAAGCACTCTCACTGGTGGCCTACCGGAACTAAGAGCTGCTACAAGGGCTGGAAATCTCGTAGCGGCCCCAACGGGGCGTACACCTGAATAAAAACTGATGCATCTACTGTATTGAATATCGTGTTATCCAATCCATTAGCGTTGATGATAAAGGTTACCTGCTGATACATCTCCACCTGCTTGAGAGTTGTTGGGTAGCTCGGGAACAGACGACCACATCGGAAGCATTGTCACAGACATCTGATTTCTCATGGATTCACTATGTCCTAACCTACTTTAATCGTGCTACCCGTAAGTCCCAAAGTTTATCTACCGTTGGCATTATTCCTCGTAAGCTTTCCATCAGCAATCTTGTGTGCACCTTCCCGTTAGCAATTTGTGACCCACGTTGGCATACAACCGGAGGGTTCAACGATGCTCGCGTCTGCCAGTCAGACTAATTAAGAGATAATGCCAACTCAGATTAAAATACCGCTATGCAATAATGATGCCGTGAACTAATTGACCATAACTCCTCGCCCATGAGGGATTCGTTTCATTCAAGTACCTGATTTAGATCGTACGGGAACAACGGACCAACTTCACAATTAGTTTGGAAGTGTGCGAGCGTGCTGAGAACCAGAAGTACCCCTTGACCACACTGACTCAAAACTTACATGCAGGAGAGTTTGGGAGCGGATGTTGCCATTTTTTTATCTTGCTGCACTTTCATGAGACAAGTATCTAAATGGGGTGGTGCCTCAGCCATATGTGACTACATCGTCATCAAAGAGTCAATCTGACCAGTTAATTTTTCGTATGATCAATCATGGCGACCTGGCAGGAATAGCGATGGGAACGCTCCTGCCATCGCTCGATGTAAGCCCTCGACTTCGTCCTGCTCCATTCCGTGGTCATATGTTTTCCCATTCATTTACAACAATTTTGTTCAACTTCCTCTTCAGAATGGTGTACATAGACAACGACTCCATTTCGGAGGCGCTGTCCGATGATAAATACTCTCTGCATGCGTCAATAACCTCATAACAAAAATAACTTATTCTCATTTTGTAACTTATTCTCGAAATGATGGTTTAGTATTCAGCCTTATCCGATGAGTAAAGACTGTTCACCATGTATATTTCAGCTGACTTGCTTGAGTTCAACCTCAGTGATGATGACTTCATTAAGAGGGTTACTCGTTATTCTAATTACGTGTAGTGATACTTTTGTTCGAGGATGTCGTGATCCTTCGTACTGACGCAGGTGCAATCCGTGTAGTGAGCTCTCAATAAGTAAACGTAGAAGTGGAGAAATTGTCCGCTGACGAAACGGAAAGCGAACAATAAGAAAACGAATTCACTGCCGCCAAAACCTTGCCAGATTCCCATTACGAATTTCAGACACAAAAACCATCGAATCAAATCACAAACAATTTATTGTAAACAGCAAAATTACAACATCAAGTTGTGAGGACATTGCCTGTTATTCAACATGAGCCACGATCTCAAATTACCGAAGAGTGATTTGTGTTCAGGGTTTCTTTGATTGCGTTGCAGATAGGTGCATCGATTGCTTCTGATTAGTATTTCTCCACTCAGTTACCTGAAATGCCAAGAGTACTTTGCAAGGTCAAAATAATAAAAACCCACTCTTTAGGACATACACTCCACAAGGAAAAATAGCAAAAAAACCAACGGCACAAAAAATGGTTGTTGTAGTAGAAAACGTACGTGGAATTGAACCTTTTCGTGCAGTGGAAAGTGATTCAATAGATGAGTACCTGAACAACATACTGTCACATTCGGAAGCGAAAGCAACGTCGGTAAAAGAATATGAAGCTCCAAAAGAAAAAGGTGCTTATCCAACCATCCCAGAAGCACTTGAAGTCTTTTTGGATGGTACTTAAATGGAAATAAATAGAGAGAAATGGTTAGAATAAAACAGAAGCGAAAATAAGTCAACCGTGCTCTAGCGCCAATGACGCTGGCCACGCCGGGTAATCGAAAGTAGGACGCCTCGCTCCAGAGCTAACGATGCTGCCCTGCCATCGCGACGAAAACCGCCGCGTGCGACGTCGCTCGCCGCGTGAGCGGCGTGACCTCATTAGCCGGCGATTGTATCATCCGTAGCCCAGGGATGAGGAGGTGGACCGCCAGTGGAGAAAAAAGGAAAGAAATCGTGAAAAACACAGGAAATACGAGCCTTCGTGCTCTACACTGTGAAGAAGTTCAAGAAGGCAGGCACGGGAAATGAGAGATAATGTGAGCCGCGGAAATGGTACGAGCAGTCCAAATAGTCTGAGTAGAGGAAAGCATGGCAAATCAACAATGCGACGCAGGCTAAGATATCGAACGGTAGGAGGACTCTGGTAGTTTTGGTGGAACTTGATCAATGTCACCAGCGCCTAGCGACTTAGTGACGCGTTCCGATGTGCGTATACTCTATTTCGGAAGATTAGAAGAGCGTCGACTGCAGAACACACACCACAAGTGGCGACGGCCACAAAGAAGTGGCCAACGGCTGGTGTAACGTTCGATTCGCTAGCGAATCGCTTGATTCACATGACATCGGCCGCATGGCGATGGCAATCGCGGGCGACGGACTTACGGCAAGGGTCAATTGTCCGTTGGACAACGTCCAACGAGGGGGGGGGGTCGTATTCACAAGGTTGAAGGCAGTATCAGTGCTACACCAACGGGAGTCGTAGTTTGGTTGAGGCAGGGGATCTCCGCTCGACGGCTATTTTGAAGGAAATGTGGGTGGAGTTGGGCTGTGTCAACTGGTCTCAGAATCAAATACTATAGTAACAGCTCTGATGGTAAGGGTGGTGGTCGTTATTGGTGGACCTCCTGAGTCTCATGGTGGTGGAGGGGGTCGTGAAAAATTTCCAAAAAGTACCAACGGTAGGGTTGACCCTGGGGGGGGGTCGTATCGAGGCCCTCCAGAAGGGGGGGGTCGTAAAATTTTTGAAATTTGTCCAACGTGACGGTTGACCCTGCTTACGGCTCCTCCGAGGCCGATACGCGGCAAATCGCGCGGCGGGCTGCGCAGCGATCCGGACGAGGCACTCTCTTCGCGGCAATTCTCTGCAGTGGAATCTAACACCTCAAAGCGTGGCCGATAAAATCCAGTTTCTGCCATTCGAATTACTTTCCACGCGATGAGATTTGAGGATAGCAATGATGGTAAGGAAAGTTCATTTGGAAAAGATGGGAAGGAACATAGCGATAAGGGCGCCCATGTACTTGGGCGGGGGTGGGGGAGTTGAGGCGGTTGTTCAAGAAACTTCAAGTGAGTGAGCAACTCACTGTGCATGGAATCGAGCCTTAAGGAGAGAAAGAAATTCTGGGGGAGTGTGTGAGCAATTTGTGATCTCCTTGGGTTTCTCCCCTCTCCTGGGCTTGGTCTGAATGCCACCAACCATCGGCCCTGTTTTGAAAATTCTTCCTAGGGGCATGAGCGCCACGATAAGACCGCCGTTATACTTGGCGACGGACAAGCGATGGAGCGATCGCGATGGAGCGGG